ATTCATGCTATCGGTACAAATGAACTGTGTGTCGTCTTCGTTATGTAAGTTTTGTTTGCCAGCATTATGAATCTCAGGTGCACTGGAAAGTGAGAACCATGACCGATGCACCACCAGGATTCTTCACTGATCTCAGCACGCGAATTGGGCTCTATTAACAGTGGCGGATGCTATACAACTCTGTCAACGTGACAACAATCGGTCGACCCATGGGTCGACCTATTGTACTGCCCATAATTGCGTGTCACGCAGTGTATACCTATAGATTGCAGGGCCTGAATTACAAAGCAACTTGTATGTAGAGCGGAATTCAGAAGAGGTAATAAATGAACAGGTACTTATATAATAATTAATGGATCACAAAACCTTAAACTCAGTTGACATTTTATTATCGAACAAACAAACGAACCAAAATCAAGGGAACGAACAAGAGTCAATCAAAAATGCAAGCGCGTTATATTCCAAGCGTGTATTGGAAAAGAGCATGTGTTGCGCAAGAGTTTAAGAAAGAATTGTTGGATACTGCATGCAAATTTATCAACAAATAATATAAAACAATTTCAACACATGAAGCTACATTTACGCTGAAATGGGGGCTTAAAAATTAGGCCATCGGGCAATTTGCTTCGCGAGAACCGACAGCTTGGCGAGAAGCAATACTTTAAAACGCATGAAATCAAAATAAAAGCAATATATGCATCAATATTTTAAAAACGCGCTTCAAGTGAAGATCGTACGAGTAATGGCTACGAAGTACATAGAAAACATTGCATTTATCTCGCATAAATAGATAGCTATAAACCGAAGTGACTGGGTCAAAGTGGTGAGCTTACGAAGTGTGTGCCGCTCAAACAACCTCATTAGCAGGAAACCTTCTGAGTAAAATTGTTTATGATTTGGCTCGTTAAGGCAGGTAATGTAATCGTTCGGCAATTCCTACTAAATTTATTGCGCATGCCTGCTTTTGAACGATCTGGGAATGCTTCCGGTAGATTTTGGCTCACATATCATGTTCGATGCTCGAATTAATAAGAACCATCATATAGCATGCTTCACTTAAAAGAGTCAAGCAATTAAGATAAGAACTTAATGAAATTGACAAGCTTCTTTTCGCTCAACGAGCAGGCTCTTCACATCAGTGACACGGAAGTAGTACAGTCAACTTCAGGTAATCTAACCTCTTGTATTCTAATGTCTTTAATGGATCATTATTTACTCCTACCTCCAATTTTATTGCCTATAACTTGCATCAAATATATTTTTCGCTCAAAATTTACACTAACAATTTATGCGAGCCCTCAATTCAATAAAAATTTTTAATTTTGCTATAGTCACATAAACATTTATTTGTATCTGAACAAGCAAGTTACCGTAACATCGTTATATTCATATTGAAACATTCACCAACAATCTCAATTAACTCATCTTGCTCAGGACTCCAGCAACTTTACGTAAACGCCGAAGTGAGTAATTTTAAATATTGAATCAAACAACCACCAACCTTAACTCATTAATTATATCTGCTACAGTCACCTCGAATTAGATTCATGTATTATACGGCACGGAGGAGCGCTATAGATCGCTGTTATGTTGACGTGCACGGACAGCTTGACGAGAACTGCGACACTTTCTCTCGTGCCAGAACAGTGAACAGTGTAGACAGTGTACGCGCTCGTATCGCACGGTAACGTGGACTCATTCTCATTTACTTAATCGAAAATATTTGTGATGCTTCAATACATACTTGATTATTTTTAATAAATCTAATCTAATCTAGGCCGGCATTTTAATAAAATCATGACTAATCTTTGAATAGAATAAGATAACGATAATAGCCCGAATACGCAGCTAACAGGCTGAGATGAGGTCGGGGTTAGCTAGAAATTGACTCAGGAGCTAGAAATTGACTCCAGATTCATTTTGTACTCAAGACGGAATGTTCATAATACCAATCATGACGATTGCCAGTGAAATACTATTGGCAAGCTCATAATGTTACCATAAAAATACGCAAATGAAATTATTTTGAAACGTTAAGAAATTGAAATGGTGATAATGTTGAATGCTCATAATTTTTAGGGTCATCTTCAACAAAACAAAAACAACGATCGCAAATCGTATAAATTTAAGCTGCAGCAAATAAAGCCAGAAAATGTATTTCGATGATATATGCTCTATTTGTCATCATAAGCACCCGTAATACATATGCTTTACCTCGCTAACATCTGCTGTCCAACTCGGTTTCAACTTTTTTTGGTACCTACAAGTTCTGTAACGGAAGCATTGAAAGCAACCGCACGGTCGTCCATGTTCAAGTTCAGACAACGAAAACCGCAAACATGCGGCGGGTCAGAAGAAGCGTTGTTACTGTTGCATCATGAAATGCACGTAACGATAGTAACTGCATGACTATCAAAGATGTTCGGTTAAGAATGTTCACAATGTACACGGTACACCATAACAAGTAATATTCGGAAGCAACCACCCGAACGTGTTTCAAGTTTGAGCAAGAAACACAAGCGCAGGTCAGAAGTCAGCACGAAGGAGGGGCCAGCTGTTCCGATGAGGATGTTTGTCTGCCTTGCAGTTCCCACAGCTGAGCACGGCTGTTTCCGGCGGCTGCAGAGACATCTACCTACCAAGCCGCAATAACAATCGATCGCAATGCAATTTCTATGATTCACCTCATATAACTGTTTGCATATACTGTGAAGTTTATACCAGTAGTATAAGAATATGATAATCCCAGGATATGGTAAACTATCGAAAAAAATATTCCGCAACAATAAAAACCTTGCGAACTTGAGTAGGTGAATTTAAACGAGAAATTATTTTTCGGAGACAATTACAGATTCAAAATAAAACTTTTCGATGTAATACTGTCAAAATGAAATGAATATAAATTAGATAGATGGGCAGCTGGCCACGACGGAGGCCGGACATGGACAGCGCAGCAGACGGACGACGGTCATGCAGAGGCAGGTGTTGCGGTGGACTGATCGACATATTGACCGGCCAGCCGCTATCATCCGAACGCCTGGGCGTCCTGTCGTGTTTACACGAGCTACCGCAGCTACGCTGGTCCGGAACTGCTTTAGTGTGAAGCTTGGGTTAAGAGTTCATGATTACTTAAATTTAGATTTCATGTATGGATAGAAAGTGCTAGAAGTTATTTATCATTTATCGGCATTGGCTGTAAGCGGTTGAATCATTCTCCGATCTCGTAATGTGAGTTAATTGCCAAAGTAAAATGATACATTTCTATCCGTTGATATAGGTGCATTATACATTTCCAGGTGTGCAAAACGGCTTTTCAGATTTGGTACTCTGTAATCGAAGGTTACTAAGATTAAATTTTATCCACCTATTTAAAAAAATGAGCGCGTAGTTACAAATTACCACTTCGATAAAAGCCGAACATCATACATGCACAACCTCGGATAATGAAGAACAGTAGAACATTCACTCAGACTATATTATGTATTCATGGCCACCTTTATTTTTGACAGCTAAAATGGTGTGTTTCGTTTCCACATACCGGTATCGTAATAGTTACATCCCTGAACGATGTAATTTTCTATCACACATTGAAGGTAACAATGAATTCCTTCTGAATGGACTAATCACGATGAAATTAGCTAATTCCACACACTTGTCAAGGTCGAGGGCGCTCTAAACCCGTCATCACCAGTACGTAACGCTTGACGAGTGGACAGAACTACGTTCATGATTAAACAATATTTTATGTCTTTCTAAACTAATTTATCGTAATTACTGAGAGTTGGTATACAGCCAAAGATTAAAATGAGGGATGCCTTATTCATGTGAACCCGTATTTTCAAGGTTAATGGTTCTCAAGGTTAATGTAAATTCTGTTACCTATAAATCCCTACAATTCCCGATCATGAAGGGATAAGAACACATGGAAAATTCCAAAAGGTTAAGGTATAGGGAAGTAAGATTCTGTCTACTTGTGAATCAAACAGCCTTAGGATAATAAAGTAACATTCCATGAATATCTCAGAAAATCGGTGATAGATATTTAAGGCAACACCTTTGCTATCGACCCTCATCGACCGGAGTAAAGTTCTCTTCCTTAGATGAAGGATGCGTGCCTTAGAGTTTGGCTCATACCAAACAATATTCAGCCAGGACCAAACGTATAGTAAAAGAGGAGAAACTATATCAATAAATCATTCGTATAGTACACAAACTACAAACCAAACAATTCAAACCACCCAAAAGTTTTGGGAGATGAAACCTAATACAAACAGTAGAAAGGAAACGCGTAGTTGTATATCTTCGATTTTGGATCAAAGAGCAGCTCCACGGAGATAAAAATGCACGACACGTAACACGTAGGGAGCGGAAGAGCGCACTTCACGGCTTCTAAATCCAAAGTCACGAAGCGCTTGAATGGCGCAAATGAAACTCGAGCCGCCAGCTCAATCAACGGGCGGATAATGGATTGAAACGTCACTCACACCCTAAAAAATTCAGCCTTTTCATTCCCGAAAACATGAAAATAACATGAGTAGTAATTTCTGCAGGAATATTAGAATTCGTAGAATACGCTCCAGGATAACCTATTTATAGACGAAAGATAGGCCAATAAGAGAAAAGTATGGTCTTCAGAGCATCTTAGATGATAGATATGTTTTCATTCAAATAAAAAAACTATATCTGTAGGTAATATCTCATTCTCATAATACTTCTAAAATCACTATTCATTCAAACAAAAACAAATAATCATTAAAACCGTTAAATAATTTTTTTTAAAGTAGAGTGTTGCATCCACATGCAATTCATATACCGGTACATCAAGATCGTTTTTCCAAAATGTAAAATATTTCCAAATTACCGACACTCACCAACTACATATAACGTTGATTAAATGTTGTTTTAACGAAATCAACTCCTAATTAGCATTGTTTTACCAAAATCAACTCGTAATCAATGTTTTCTAACGTAATTCACCAGGGTATTTACGATTTACTCACCCTTCTTGAGGAGGTTTTTGATCCTCTTGCAGCGTCCGGTGAGCACAGCCACATGAAGCTCGTCGGGGTAATGGGGCCGCATGGGCCGACCGCCCCCCTTCAGGGGCACCGGCATCATCATTGGGAACAGAGCTCACCTTTACACTGATTCTCCAAGGTCAAGTGTCGATAGTCTGTAGCGTACGTTGCTGATTTATAGTCACAAGATCAAATTCACCTCGGGCTAATGCATAAGTCCAAGATTCAAAGAAAAAGTACACTGATGGGTGCAGCGAATTTCACAAAGAAAGTCCAATCAGAAACGACAAGAGCGACGTTTTTTCAAACATACAATGATAGAGGTACTTTCGTTCTGTCGCAAAGATTTAGGACACTCAACAGACAAAAAAACTTCAAAATTGTAAAAGTTCACAGCTGACAAGTTTTCGATGATCCCTCCTCAGGAGTAAAGTTGTAAATTCTAGATATCACGTGCGGCACAAGTGAACACTAGATGTGAGCGCTTTATTCCGAACGGTTCTCACCAAAAACAAACCAATGCGACAGCCGAGGCGAAGTCGCTGTATGGCGGTCGGGAGTGTCACGTATGCCACAAGAAGCGAAGTCGAAGGTAATTGTTCAGCAGGCAGTAGGGAGAGCAATAATCGCCTTACTGGTTCCCTCCTTTACTGCCGACCAAACCACGGCTAACACGGCCACACAGCCCGTGACCAACGAGGCTACACGGGGCCAGCTCTAGATTCCTCGCGTCAGGCTTCATGTAGCAATGGGCCTGTACCAACACAACGACTAAGCTTTAAGATGGATTTGACGAGATCCGTTCTTGGAAGCAAAACAACTATAAACCTCAACTGGTCACGCACATTTGCATTGAAAGCTGAGTTTTCACGAAGTGTCAAGTTTACAATTCACAAACAATCGGCAGTGGATTTTTCGCCTCATTAAAGTTACCACAATAGCTTCGCGGCGTTTTCCCCAATTACAAACTCACGGTCATAATGTCTTATTTTACTGTCACAATATCCGAAAATGGCAAAAAAACTAAGAGGTCTCTAAAATTTGAAAAAGTTGCAGCAAGATGGGGACTAGAGAGGGGCATGAAGTAAAATTTAAGCATGAAGTATATCAAATGATAATTTAATGAAAACTATCTTAATCAGTTACAAAAACAGTAACAGTTGCAACGTCTGTCAACTACCTTTATTAATTTATTTAATTAATAACTGAGCGATTTGGAGGAAGAGCAGCAAAGCGAATGTGAAGAGCAGTAGGGGTCGTTGCCTTCGTTCCTCAGAAGCCGTCACTGCCGAAACAAACCACAAATTTCTTCCTTGCCGCTGCTACTAAGCGACGAGCTTCCCCCGCAAGACGGACAATTGAACGCCAGCGACTTCTTCAATGGCGGGCAAAAAACTGTGATCGTTGTGAACGAGCGCAGGAGTTTCGAGACAGAAAAACGAGGCAGGTATGGGGCGGAAAATTGGAGGTTGACGAATAAAAAACTCAGGTCTCACTCAGAATTACAGCCACTAGATCGACAAAAACACACTCTAGTTGCTGAATCCCCATACAAGATGAGCAAGTCCAATCGAAGTCGAAGAACGAATCTACGAGTCGTTTCGATAATCGAAACCCCGAGATCGTGTTAGATAAACGTAAGCCTGGTCTGGGTTGTCACCACGCTGTCACATTGACACAAAGATCAGCAGCGCTGACCAGACACTGAGAAGACAAAGGCGTCTGAGGTACCTACAAGTGACTTGTATAATTCGTTGAGATACCCAGACAATTATGAACTTTACAGTGATAATGAGAACACAATGGGATCTGTGATTGAAGCTCATTTGCAGTCCGCGATATTAAGATCGTGCAAGTGAGCGGTGATTGTGTAAATCGTCATTGTCATGTCTAAGTAAGTATGCTTTCTTTTGTATCCATCACCACAATTGAGTTCCAGCGATGGCGACACGAGTCACAAGAAGGAGTTGCGGGCCGGAAGCACCTGCGTGAAGTCACTGGCGGTAGAGGCGGTGCGCGTTTAGGCGCAGTCGTGTAGAGATCCTGCGTCGCGACTGCTACATAAGAGAGCCTCGGCCGAACATAGTACGAACTCACATCAATAAATCTCTTCTTCTTAAATAAATCTCTTCTTCACGATCTCATCACAAGCGACGTTCAATCGCATGGTAAGAGTTCTGGTGCGAATCTTAGTAACACAACCAATAGAAGGAGCACCAGACTAAAATTTTATACGCTGGATCTCCTGGAATCAAGAATGGAAATGTTCTCTCACTGAGAGTAAGGCACTCGCAGGAATCGTTGGGCTTCAAAATAGCATGAATAACTTGACGGAATGACATAGAGATGCCATTGACTCGCAGCAGTGTCCATCTATAGCGGTGCAAACAACAATCTCACACACGTCAGTATGAACAATATTTACAGTACTGCTGAATCAAACGAATAATTAAAAGTGAGGCGCAAAGCAAAGCCGATAGCTCCACCCGACTGCAAACTAAAGCATCATTTGCTTCAGCAGTAACACCTCTGAAAAACAATTTAAATAATTCAATACATTGGAAAATAAACACACAAAGAAACTAATTTACAAACGCTATATTCAATTTAGTGCACTTCAGTAATAATATATGGTTAAAGTCTAACAGTGTGGAAGTCTTTCACCTCCAAACAACTAAGACTTTGGTTCTCGAAACTAAGAATCTGGTTATGTCAATTATTTTAGAGAATAGGGCTCCGGCGCAATGGGATTATGGGAGCCGAATGCTCGACGAAGCGGCAGGCCGAAAGGAAGCCGCCCGCACCAGGCGCGTCAAACTCAAGGGGAAACCACACCAACAAAACAGCAATGATATCCCTAAAAGAGATAAATATTAAAATGAAATGTTTTCAGGAGTAAATGAGAGAAGGAAAAAATATAACTCAGTACTCACAGCAGTGAGTGACAGAGAGTGCATTTTCTCGTCGACGAAAACTTGAGGTCACGGACGGACGGACAGACGGACATGGCGAGCACAATAGTGCATTTCTTCCATAAATGAGAAAATGCGCTAAAAAGTGTGAATCTTAATAGAATGAAATAAGGTCACACTATCAATAACAGTGTACAAGTGTAGTAACCACAAGTTTTAAACAACGAGTTTTGGACTTCTTGAGAACCGGAAGGAAATTGACTAGTATTTTCAAACTTAACTCCTATCTTCATCTTGACTCTTCAATTCGTTTCTTCAAATATGATTGAAGATGAAACTATGGCAGAGAAAAGTACGGGAGTGGAGGTAAACTGTATGAGGGAAAGTTGAGAAACACGAGAAGAATGAAAGATGAGGAGGCGGAGAAAGATCGAGAGTACCGGCCATGAACGGTCGATTGTTCATGGACTGTGAGCCTGAGAAGCCGTTCGTCAGCCAGCACGGCGTCTACCTGCACCTTCACACAGCTGGCCACCCAGAAACTGTACCACGCAGTCACAAGAAAATAAATGATGAATAACATTTACGGGAGCTGACAATTAAGTACATTTAGCCTAGTCGATGATAACACGAACCATTAATATTTATTTAAGATTTTGAACATTAAGTTGCGAGATATCAGATATAATTAATTTTAGCATTCCAAGCAAAAAAAAAAAAACACACACGGAAAAATGAACACTATGAGAACAATCAACACATTATAACAAGTGAAAATTGAAATTGATAAATATGAATCAAACTGACAGAGAATCCTTCGCCGGACAGCCTGCACTCGGCAGTATAAATTGATGAAATGGTTGATTGTCTCGCATGAAACTTCTTCATGAAAATGTAAATAAAGGTTCATAAAAGCTCCCAAGAGAACGTTGGAAAAGTTAAGGAAACCAAAAGAAACCGTTACATACAAATTTTAATCATGTACCTAAAATTCATAGAAAAGATTAAAGGGACAAGATTGTATTCACTGAAGGTTCAAAATTATATCTAAATCTTAGGAAAATATAAAAATGTATTAATCGCGACCAGGAATTACAGGGCAAGTTCCATTGTGAAGACACTTCTTGCAGTAAAGATTTTCATGTTTACCTGCATAGGCTAGCTAGCTATAAGTCGGGCCGAATCCCGCCATTCAGCGTAATAATGCAGTCAGGCAAGCAAAAATACAATAATTTGGACATGTTTCATCTAGTCTTATGGCAAAACATCTTAAAGACTTTGCAATAAATGCCATCAAATTAATTGAAGTCATTTCCAACCACCGTTGAACCACGCGAGAAAAAAACATCGAGAGATAACTAATCAGAGACTAAGTAAAATAAATACATAAAAAATCAACTTTTAGTTTCAGCCGGTACATTGTTCTATCCTTATTTCTAAAGACGGGCAATAAATTAAATAATATTCTAGTCTTGTACATCTCTCATGTCATGTCTAGTCTAGCACCCGCAACCTTTTGGCCTTTGAGTTGAGCTGGCAGTGACTTGAACCATGCTAACCAAATCACTGGAATTCTCTTCTAAACGAAAAAATATAAGATTTTTACACTTTACTATTACATTTTCTGTTCATTTTTGAAAGGCACCGACTTGATAAAATTTATATTAGATATTCAAACGAGTTCAAGTTTAGCTCCAAGCACACAGCGTTAAAACCCCGTGGGTTGTTATCGCCAATCTGCCAAGAGCCACACACACCATCCCCATCGAACGCGTGCGTGCAACTGATCCAGCTCGAGACTCGAGAGTCGAGTCTGACTCTGAAGTTCCGAACACGAAGAAGTTACTGGCGAGAAGTACAGTGCCTGGGACATGGGTATCAGACGCTAAAAAAAATTATCAGTAGGCTCAGACTCTCAGTATGGCCCACACGCGGTCAAACTCCATAATAAGCAGTTGAAATAAGAGATGGTTCTAACCTACACATCAGCTTTTTGTTCATAATAGGCTTTAATTAGCCGCGTCTTTAAATTGCACCTTCAAAAACTTTAGGATCGCAAACTCTGGGAAGGATATCAGAAGTGTCTGCCCGCATGAGGAAGTTCTTGCAGTCACTATATTGAGCACGTAGTAACCGCTAACGTCCTCTGCAAGTTGCCTCGTGTAGAGAGACTAATTACTCTCTGCATCAGGGGCTAGCAGCAAATAGCGGGTACAAAAACAAACCTGGGTGTGGAGAACAATTAGAAGTGCGAGTACATCGATGCAATGTCAAGTGACTTTTAAGTTCATATATTTTATCCTAAGTAAATACAAATAATCTTCAAGGTCAAGCAGTCTTTGGAATATCCCTATTACAATCGAGAAGAGGACTCGCAATCACTGAGGAATTTTAACATTAAAATGCATCACTTGAATATTCGTTAAAAGCCACTATATATATTCAGATTGGTCAACATACATCTTCCTAATTTTGCCTTCTTTTTCCGTCCTTATCTCCGAGCTACGTTTTTTCTAAGACAGGATATATATATACGGCAGACACTCGCCCGCAAAAGAAGAACGCGCTTTACAGAGGACCTTTAAAAGGCTAACTCTCAGTGTGCTTGTGTTGCCCTTGGCAATCATTGGATAATCGTCGCTAATGTACCTCAGTTGTGTTGGCTGTGAAAAGTTTATCAGATTTGTACGAGAAGTATCGTTTCCTAATTATTTCCGAGCAAATCAATCATATGCAAAAAATTTACTTCTCCGGAAATGTGGACGAAATATTTGTTGAGTATCAGGTATATCTTTTTCACATGCAGATCGCGTCAGTTGTTGCTCTTCGTCTAATGAGTCATGTTCACAAGCCAAGAGAGTCCCACAGCGCTGTATTTTGAACAGTGTAAAAGGCCTCATGAGTGCGTTTTAGATTGCCCGTGAACATCCATCAGTCCACTGGTGCCAACTGCCAATATACTCCGGCATATAGCATTATGCCTAATGATTTACAGCTAGGCCACTGAAAAAACGGAGATACACCCGTAGTTAGCCCGCATACAGTAACAACCCATTTGTGACGCTTCGTTTCTTTTAACCTCACAAGCTCTTTTACGTCTGTGACTGGATTAATTTCAAACTTGGAATCTTTCTTTAACCCTCATTTCCTCTAAGTAGTCATCTAGTTGTTCCTCATCGAGCAATCGTTCGTGACGCCTCATTAAAAGTCAATGTCTGTCTTCTTATTTCAATCGATCAACATAATTGCGGGCTAGGACAAACGGAAGTTTCGTTACGTAATAAACGTATTCATCTAGTGTCATATGTTAGGAAGTGTCCTTTCCTTCATTTTTGGCCGCTCAAGCCAAGGGCGCGTAGTGTAAACCATTCAGATCCTCCCTCAATCGGTGAGCATCCTTCTTCCATCGTTGCGACAGTGCAAATAAAATAAATCATAATTTAGTACTCCAAAAAGTGGTTTAATAGCGCATCAGCAATGATGCTATTTGTATTTCAGACCATAAGTCCAAGATAGCTTCATTTAAAAATTAACGTCAACATCAATGTTGCAAGACTCGGTACCTACAATTTTTCGCAATATTTCTCATATCTCACGCGCGCGGGAAGGTCTAAAATCATCAGCGTTCTGAAGCTGGCGAGGCAACATCGTCTGTTAGTAGTAGTAGTAGTAAAAGATTTACTAGCGCTTCAGATAGCGAATCTATTTCGCGCCGGAGGTGAGGTCTTCAGCTACGTCAAAGATGTTTGGCCTCCTCCGTCTCCAAGGCTTATAGCCTGATCCATTTTAGGCGCAGGGGCTGGGCGGTAGATTCCCTGCTCATGGAGCGAGGGTCCGCTCCGACTTCATGTATCAACTCCAGCGTAAGTTTAGTGAGGCTTGGTCTAGGTGATGGCAAGGTGCGATTATAGTCTCGCTAAAGGCGGTGGTTCAAGGAAAAGGTTTTTCATCGCAGTTGCCTGCAGCTCGGATTTTAGTGGGAGATTTTGATCCGGGCAGAAGGTGCTGATGGGGATTCGCCACGTGGGAATGTCTTCGAACGTGACGGGCATAACCTGCATCTGTTGGGCCTGTGTCTGTTAGAAACACCAAGGAAAGATTGGTAAAATCATATAGAAGGTCGCTCACACGAGCCTGCGGCTGCCAGTATTCGGGTATACGGTGATGAAAAACGCAAGGAGTCTTGACTAAATAATAATTCACAGATTTGATTAAGATAATAAGCACTAGAGTTTCACTGAATTAAGTGTATTTAGGACTTGAGGAGGAGAAGAGCACAACAAAAAAATATCGACAAAGAGTACAAATAATGTACACTAACGATGAAGTCAAAAAGAACACAAAATCTAGAAAGTAGTTTATTTGCCTGCCGAGTTATACATAGGACTACTCCGAATCACTTGAAGATTCAATGAACACCTAACATCTCCTTCCTTCTTAAAAGGTACAGAAAAACTTGAAACTGCGCTGAAAATATCTCGGTAGAGGGAAGTCATCACCTTTTGTAGCGCATGACAAATATAATGCTGTTGTTTGCTCAGCATTCACCTACCTAAGTTGAATATACGAATGCTAACTTGATAAAAGACGTTACACAAAGACTATATTCGAGAAAAACTACAATTTTCAGCGCTGAGCAAAGACACGCAGCTTAGGCAGGTACTTGAGAGGGAAGGCTCGGTCCGGACCCCTGAGAAAAAAAAAATATTTTGTTAAAGAACCAATACTGAAATAATAATACATTTTCTGCATAGCACCACAACCAGCCATGAGCACATATCTGTAACCTAAACAACTATTTATTAACTAATAAAGCAGTTCAATTTCAAAAAGCTACCTACAGTGGGTGCAAAAAGTATCCAAGACAAAGAAAAAACTTTATTATTTTAAACCTTAACTTTAAAAAAATTGCAATTTTCAAGGCAACATTTAATGATATTGTTGTTTTGATATGATATTCGTTTTCCAATGTAAATTTACATTAGAATAATGTTTATTGATGTTATTCTGTTGGATAAGCTTTAATTAAATAATGTTTTTCCTTTGTGTCGGATACTTTTTGCAACTACTGTAAGTAATCTCCTAATCTCTACCAATATGGAGAAAAAATTAAATAAAAAAAAAACTACATGTACCAATGAATCTTTTACGAAATCAACTCAGATTATAATATTACATAGGTCTGGGAAATGTCTGAGCCGTCGCGAGCAGCGTTAGGCAAGTCAGACCACGGGGAACAACTTCCACCGCGTCGAAAAAATTCAGGGACATCGAGCATTCTCCAACACTTAAACATGCCGTTAGCGTTAATTTGCACGATAAAGTAAACTCCTCGCACACCTGGCAGAACGGAAGAAAATTTTCTCCTTATGGAAGTGCATTGAGTCATCAGGTAATGGCCCCGCAGCGTCTGAGGGGTTCAGCCTGCTGCTGACAGCCTCAGTGTAGACGTCGAGGCACATGGCGAGTCTGTAGAGCATCAAGGGCAAGATGTGTGCCTTGTCCGTGCCTCCGACCAGCAGATCAGACCAATGCACGTTGACCTCAGCCTCGAGCTGCTGCACATGGGCGTGGGGGCAAGGCTGATCCCCCCACTTGAGGTCGAGGGCGAACAGCGGAACAGTGTTGGGGTAGTCAGCGGACACGCATACATACGCAGACATCTCCACTGAAATACAAGTCTCAGTTACTACGCGTTTATCCATCAGAAAGTAAATTTTAGCACGTAATTTTATTCTAGATAGCCCAGCATACGAGTTATGCCTATAGTATCACGAAACAAAAATCTCAAACATCCAAAATTTACAATTTCCAAGTTTCCAAGATAGTAAAAATAGTGACATCACACATGTGATATCGACATTATTTAAGTAATATCGATCTTAATTATATGATAATAGTATGCACTGAGAGAGCTAACCATGGCGACGCTGGTACAAAGCGCGGAAGAAGAAGGAGGTGGCGACGGCGAGACCAGCGTCCCTGAGGGCAGCGGTGGCAGACAAGGCGTTGTAGTCCTGCCAGCTGACCGGCCGCCAGGACACAAGCTCGCAGCTCACCTTGCCAGGAAACAGCGCGCTCACGCTCCCGCTCGGTACAGGGATGCAGCTAACACACAAAGAAATATTTGATGTTATGCCTCCAAATACATTTATTTTATAGTCTTCATTGCTACTCGTACGTAATGGCTTAGGAACGAGAGGTCAGGTCAGCACACAAAGGGTTAAATATAATGAAGTGTTGACTTTTAATTTAGCTAAGCATACATTACTGATGGCAAATATCTGTAAAAAGGATAAACTGCTTATTGAAGTATGCTTAATTGGGTAGTAAAATGACGTGACGCACCTGGTGGAGTTGGCGCTTTGCAGGCTGAGCAAGTGTTGCTGTAGCACGAGACGAGCCTTGAGGCGACGTCGCAGGGCGCTCAGTGTGACGTGAACGCGCTCGCTGCTCACCTCCGTCCCTCCCTGACGTCACAGGAATTATGTCATCAACATGTTAACGGACATCAGGGATGGTGGGAGTAGAATGATTATTGCTCTGCAAGTCTAATCATTGAGCAACACATTACGGAAAAACATGCATGTCGGGTATGGTATGGTTATTGCTTAAGAGGTTTAAAACAACATCTTAGCACAATTTATTCCAAAAAGAACGTCGTTGCAACAGTTTAGGTTGCAAAAGATATAGATACACATATAGTGTATCATCTCTGCACCTATAACCAGCCGCCACCACAACCAAATCTCTTAATGGGCCCCTGGGGTGAGGGGTCAACTTGAAATCGTAATTTGGCAATTTGCCTTGAGCGGTTGAGCCCACGACAGAGAACAGGCTGGGCCCGGGGCGCCGGTCTACTTTCAGAGGAACCGGGACAGGATGTGGTAACTAAGCTAACTAAGTCAAAAAGCTTCGTTCATCACCTTTCATTATATTTTAGTAAATAATAAAACATAAAATAAGATTCTAATAGATAACCAAAAATCAAAGATGTAATCCAATTGAAAACAAAACAAATAGTCATGCTGTGATTTGCAGTGGAAATCTGTAATTTTAATACAACATAATAAGGGCGAGCAAACGATTTGCAAGCTCCTGTCCTTTATTCACTACATTCATTACCCGGGCCAATTTTCCACTATATTACGCGACCAACTTTGCCCAACGAGCTCACCTCGTGCGCGATTTCCTCCGCGACAGTGACGAGGCCGTCCTTGAGGGCGCGAGTTTCCTCCTGCTGGAGGGCAGGGAACGCGAGCCCTGCTAGCTGCTGCGCCCACTTGTAGGCACGGCCCAGCTGCAACACATAGCAGTGTTAGGCAAGCAAACTGAGTGCAACGCAGGGCAGTGTTAGGGCAGGCAATGTTAAATGAGGTAACTGCAACACAGGGAGTTGTGGGCAGGAAGTGTTTATAACATAGTGACAACCGAGAGATTTTTTAGAGACTACTCGTACTTCATTTCTAGTTTCCTCATCTACTTTGAGATTTAGTTCAATATCCTATTTATGTTAATGCTGGTATCCATGATACATACTAGTCTACTTATAAGAGCCAAGTTTATTCAGAAAGAAAATTCTAAAAAAAATTATCTTTTCAGAGAGTCTTATAGCTTTTACATTGTTCTGTAGCTGCGAATTGTTCAGATATGCTATTTTAATCGAATACGATACGAAACTTTAGGATCAGGTATTAAGGAAGACGGAAATTGCATAGAATTTTCGGCGACGGGGTACTGGGAGGAGGGTGTGATGAAGGCGGGGGCGAGGCGGTTGCCACTATGACAATTGCAGGAGCTACTGAGGCGGGATGAGAGTGGGGCGGTGCCTGATAGCATGCATCTGAGGCGGGATGAGAGCGAGGCGACGCGTGATAGATAGCACGCACCTGAGGCGGGATGAGAGCGGGGTGATGTAGGAAGGCGGAGTGCGGCTGCAGGCGGCGCAGCTGGTGGATGGTGGCAGGATTGGGCGACACGACGCCGCCGTCGCCAGGGAAGAGCTCGTCGAGGAAGTCGGGGCCCGTTAACACGTCCCTACCAGGCAGTAACATGGTGGTCATCATTTACAATCTTATTGACTTTCCAAAATTACTTGCATTGCTGTTTCCAAATAGAAAAATGACAGGGATTCATTGTAAAGCACGTCGTGAGGTCACTTATCAAGATGTGGTTCATTACGAAGGTGCACATCATACCGCCGACGTACAGCATGACGTGAAACAGCATGACGAGGTTCGAGGACTCACGTGTAGACGACGGCGCCAGGTACAGGTGGCAAGGTCTTGGCGAGGACGAAGGTGCGGGTGGTGACGAGGCGAAGCTGCATCGCGTAGTGGAACTGTATCACCACACTGCTGCCATCTGCAACACGGACACCACAAAACCATACATAACCATGCACTCTAAGATGAATACCGTATCAAATATTAAACTATGTTCAACATCCATTGTTAGTGATGACGTAGAGAGTAACAAGAGATTACAATGACGTAGAAGAAGTTCAGTACCACATACCTGGAGTGGACACGGTGACTTCGACATGCAGAGGATGTAGCTCGAGCATCTGCTGCATGGGGTCAACAGCTGCAGCATTACTGCTGCTGCTGTTGCTGCTCTGCATGGGGTCAACAGCTGCAGCATTACTGCTGCTGCTGTTGCTGCTCGGCACGTGAGTCTTCCCTCGGCCAGAACGTTCGCTGCGGTCTCGACTCTTGTGGCTGCTGACGTCGTTGCTGTCCTGATGCATAAAAAAAATGCTCCATTTAGAATAAGAACCACCCAATACTACGTCAAAGAACCTGGCAGCATTTTGAATAATATGAGCAAAATCTAATTGTTCTTTAGAGCTCGTTAATCCAAACAAATAATTTTTATAAGAACGTTTAAAAAACAAGATTAAAATGATTACAGTAACAACAAGTAAATTGAAATTTGTTACGTCACAAAGTTTAACCATTCAGAAAATTAGCATTGACGCCAAGTGCTTTTCGTTATTAAAGACCATTCTCAGACCATTCTGAGACCAGGAGGACTCAAATGACCAACGCAGTGAGGATAGCAAGGAAGAAGCATAAGCATCCACGACAGAAGAAGTGACAGGTTAGCAGCAGCGGCAACACTCGCACCAGAGGTATCTAACACAAAGCCGTACGCATGATTATCAGAGAAGATAAATACAAAGAATGCATCCTGCCTAAATAACAACTAAACCCCACGGCAAAACTCGAGTTCAGATAAGGCTTTGGGGCGCTTAGAAAAATAGGCCACGAGGAATAATAAATGACATCCGGCACTAACTTGGAAAGGCACAAGTTAAAAGCCCTTCGAGAGGAAGGGTGGACTTTTTAAATGTAAAAAGAACGATTATGGTCAACACGCGAGTCACACTGAAATGTATAATACCATATCCTCAATGACAGCTAACCTCAGGATCGTTATCTGAGTCAGCATCGCCGGGCGCCGCTTCTGTCGCCTCTGCAGCAGCTGCGGCGGCGGAAGTTTTGTGCTGTTCCTCATGCTGTTGCTGCTGCAATTTAGCAGCGGCGTCTGTGTCGCCTCTGATCATGCTGCACACTAGCGGGTCGCCGGCCTCACTATATGCGCTGCACTGCTCAAACATATCCCAATAAGATGACTGGTAAAAATTACATACAGAAATACCATGCAAATCAGTATTCGGATACTCAAATATTTCTTTTATTGACCGCAAACTTTCAGATAAAACACAAGTAATGATTAGAAATATTTCCATCATAACGGCTGTCAACCAATAGGTTGGCAACTTCTTCCTAATACACAGGGCATACAGCCGCATTATAAACAAATGCCGAGATAATGGAACAAGTAAATAATTTGATGTGTGTCAGACAATGCATATCAAAAGGTCAGCAACACGCTTATGAAATAAATTACAATTCCGACCTCAAATGCAATAGATTTAAATGCACACTACCATGAAGAACCCAATCACAGCCTAGAATGGTAGAGGCTGCGGACCAATCACATGTATTGTACCACGATTTTGTGCGAGAGTTCATATTTCACTTTAGCTCATGTCTTGTTTATCGCATAAGACTGGCGAGCAAAGTGGATCAAATTAAAATACCTGCATCCAGAGAGTGTAGAGTGGCATGGGCAGGAGCTGAGCTGCCTCTTGTTGCTTCCTCATGGCAGTGAGAGGGAGCCCCAGGGCTTCTTGAAGAGGGATCGTCGACTGCAAACAAATAACATTATGCGATGCTTGTAATATGACGTGCCTAGACAAAGCAGAATGGCAATTCTATAACCTAAACATTCTACTTGAGTCAACATAGAATCATATAAAATAATGGTATAGCATGGTTTACTTCAACCATTCCGGTTTTTGGAGCACATATCTGATGCGTCCCAGATCAAAACATCACCTGGAGCACATCATTGATGCAGGGTCGTATAGCAGCCAGCTTGGTGTTCAGCTCGCTGATGTTGACCTGAACGCTGTGCAGCTCAGAGGAGAGCTGTTCGCCGAGGCTGGTCTGACCGCGGCGCTGTTCCAGCTCCCAGTGCAGGCGAGCAAGACGCTGCTGGTGGGGGTCCGACCGAGTCACGTCCTGCAATCAATACAAATTCAATACTGATAGTCCTGTGGGCTAATTTTCTTGGAATACACACGATACAACCCAAGTTATTAAATATAAATAAATAATATTAGAACTGCCTGAATGTTTCCAATATGAGGGACAGAAGCCCAGAATATGAATATTAAAAAACAACAATAGTCTTATAATATTACTTTACCTGATTACTTTAACACAAGATGTATATTTCTATTTTCTAATCAGCCGGAGAAGAAACAAACAAAAGGTATTTATGAACAGTTTCAAAAAAATTTAATTATAGAGAAGTTTGGGACAAAAAAAATCATAATATGAAAAAAATTAGTCCATAGAGAGATATGCATGAACTAGAGCTTTGATGAAACCTACGTTCAGTTGCCGATCTTGATTGAGTGAAATTAATAGACTATTAACAAAGGAATTCATGAATTATCACAAGTTCCATGAATAAGCTAGCAGGATAAAATAAGACTAACAGGCCTGGAGATGCTGGGTGGGGCTTCCTCATAGAACTGCTCGACAGGCAGCAGGTCTACGTCCTTGTCTGCAGTGTGAGCAAGCAGGCAGCGCTGGGCCTCTTTCTGCAAGTGCAGCACTTCGTACAGTAAACCTTGCAACTGCAGCGTCACGCCATCCACACTCTGACGAGCATCCAGGGCTTCCTCTCGGGCAAGACGAACGCGTACCTGCACAGTCAAGCAACTCAGTATACTTGGACTATATAGTAATTTTAAAAAGTTGATTCACATTAATTCACAAGTAAGAATGCACCAAGCATATGAATAGAATACAAAATAAGTTGAATAGATCTAAATAATTCATTAGCAACATGACATGCATGCAATAAAGTTTGAATATTCATACAGACTGTTGAGCAATGACCTTTTGTCATAATTAAATACTTTTTAAAGTTAGTTGATTGCTTAAATAGAAATCTTCCAATTTCAAAGTTTTGCAATTCCTGCATATTTTTTTAGGAAAAACGTTTTTATAAAGATTTTCATGCAATGGTGCCCATTGTTGGTCAATTCAAGTTTTAATCTTCACTGTGCAAATATGAGTAGTAAAATTTATTATACTCAAGACTTTCTGTGGAGAATACTATAAGTAGTGATCTTCCTAAATAATCTGTCATATAGTCCAATAATAATTTTCAAAACGAGCTACATTTATGTATGAATAAAGTACATCTTTCTACCTATTCAACCCACCTAGCTCAAGTATTGCACATATGTGATAGTTTCTGCATTCATTAAATGCTGGCACCACAATTATATAAGGATATGAGCTAAACATTTGGCATTTATAATACACAATGCTTACTGTGGATGGTTATATAATACCTTGATCTGACATTAATGGGTAACTAAATAGTACGGTAATTGTGAAGTACATATTGCAAATGTGGAAGAACTGTGGAATCATCTCGATTTGAATTTATTGGACTGAAATTAATAAAATGGATTTCCTTTGAACTGCAACACATGATTTAGAAGAGAGCATTATCTATTATTGTTATTCTTTTTTGCAATGGTGATCCTGTTCTTAGCGATAGTAATTCAGCCTGAAAATTAGCACTGGATTTAACATAACAGTCTTTGGTATAACAAGAAAACTTTATTCTTCTTATGGATTATCAATCCCTAGCACCGCTGGGTTAACCAGCTAATATAATATTTTTGATGGCAACCTGAAGCAGTTAAACTATTACCTTCTGAGTACGGCTAAGTTTGCGCATGTTTAGTATGAGCATCATGGCCTTCACTCGTTGCTCTTCAACAGCTTCTGAACACTGGGGATAATAGTAAAAGATTACTTTCAGACAGTGTAGAAATTGGCACAAGACTAAATTTGGTTTTCGATTAAAAAAGCATCAACAGTCAAACAAATAATACTTGCAGAATGAGAAAATAACAAAATATTTTTCAAGAAACGGGCCATGGGCCTATTTCTTCAATGCCTACACTTCTATTCTATTCTAAGTTAAATTTCCAATGATTTACTTTTTCAGGCTGCTTCAGTTTAAGTTTGAGGATTTCCTGCATAATGCTCCTGATTGCACCATTGGTCTGCAGGAAATGTTGTTGGTCAGCATCAGCTTTGCGCTGGGCCACCTCAGCCTCTTCATAGGCCAGGGCATCCTGCAAAGCCAGGTATCAACATCAGTAATCAAACATGGAAAGTATAAAATGTAGGCCAAATGATAAAAATTACACATAATTTCTTCCATTAGGAGCAAATTTGATATATATATATATCCCAGTAATTCTTTATATTATTTCTGGCAGATTATTTCTGACATAGGTATATATATATGTATACCTATTAGCACTCCATTTTTATTTTACCATATTTTGTTTGCCTAATGCATGCACATGGTTTTGGCTGCTGGGAAATTTTGACACAAGGAAAAATTCTTCTAAAAGCCCAGAAGATAGTGCGATATAATTACTGGTAGTTTGGAGACCCCATCAATACCATTTAATACCATAAGATGGAAAAAATAAATTTTATTTACAATGTCCTCCAACTCTTAAAATTCCTTTTAATTTCAGTTGCTCTTTAGTGTATTTTGATAATTTTAGCTGAGATATCTAAATATACTTGACTAAGAAATTATTTCATCTATAAAAAAGTTAGAAGGTGCTTGTTAGCCATTATGAGCCCATTTTGAGTGAGCCAAAATACTAATGATAAAATAAACATAAGTAGAATAAACTACTCTAGATTCTACGAACTGACGATGGAGCTGGACTCCGAAACGTTTTCTATAAAGATATGAATTTTTGTGGACTATTCTTTGCTTTTAAATTTTTAGTCAACTTGCGATTTAAGCAAATAAGTGACATTAATACTAGAATAAACAGGTAGAATAAAGAATATGACAAGAGGTAAACTTGATGGAAAAATTCTTTCAGATAATGCTTAGTGCATTACATTTTTGAAGTACTGTAATAGTAAGTTTTGAACTGGGATTCTAATTATTGGCTAACAAGGTTACAAGATAACAATTAATGCATTCATTCAATTATATAAATTTGTAATAATTAACTTTTTTATACAGAAATCCTAAAAAATTATACTAAAAAACAGTAATGGAACAAAAATAATAAATTCAAAGAAATTTTTGACAAAAAATATAATGAAATAGAAATACTAGTAGAACAAAAAGATTACCTTATACAAATCAATTTGTGATTTGACAAGGTCTTTCGCAGGCCCTTCATTGGCTTCTTCAACAGTATTACTCTTCTTTGTGACAGAAATAACCTCTACTTCATCACTATCTACTTCACCAGCAAGTTTTTTAGAATCTTCAGATGCCATTATCACGTAACCTGCATTGACAAAAAAGTGTGAGAGTGCTGGAATAAACTTTTTTCAAAGATTGTTTGAAATTTGTATGTAAGAATAGGTAGGTTTTGTAAGTGTTAGCTAGGGCTGATGAATGAGTTGGCACTGATGACCAAAATGTGGTTAATCAAGTGCTAAGATGTTTTTGAAGGACACATACCGTATCTAAGAGGATGTGACTAAAAGATGCAGTTTGTTCCATTGCCAGGTGTGCATCAAGATTCAGTTGCTAGTTGCTTGCATGAGATTTTAGAGTGTGAGGGAAATCATAGGATCCCATGATGGACAAACATTACAGAATCCACTAGTGGGCATTTGAAATATGTAGTTTGAATACAAAGCTAGAGTATTTCTGTGATGTCCAAATGTTCATAGGAGGATTTTCGAGCATTTATCTCGAAGAAGCAATTTTTATAGTCCATTAATATGGTCCCCAAAACATTGAAGTTGTAGTTGACACCCTTTATTACCACGTTTTTCTGAGCTCGCTTTTGTGTCCGTCTGTCTGTGATGATCAAATCTTGCAATCAATATTTCACCAACTTTCCCGCTAGCTAGCGCTCTGAAACTTTTAGAGACGCTCAGCTCCCGATGACAATACAATAATCAATAATTCGTTGCACGTTTCCAGGCGTATTTATTCAATGAAATGTATGAAATGGAATATGGGAACAACAATGTATCTCCTCGAATACAATTTTCTACAGAACTTCGAAAATAATTTTCTTTCGTGCATTTGCGTGGCCAACTGAAATAAAATTATCATCGTACGTATCATCGATACGTACGTCAAGTCAAGTAAATTGGCTCGCAACAATGTTTTTCCTGTGTAGCAACGGACTAAAAAGGAGAAAATAAAATACTTTAAAAAAAACTTTAAAAAAAACACGTTTTTCTTGTGGACTAAAAAGTAGAAAATAAATTATGGCTCGTCCCAAAAAACATGGGTCAGGCTGTACATTCACCATCAAATTTCCAAAATTCGTGTGTTGTGTGCTTTTTGCATTAATCATAAATCTGCCCAACACACGTTTTTGGGGCGCGCCATAATTTATTTTCTACTTTTTAGTCCACAATAAAAACGTGGTGTTTTAAAAAGTTTTTTTAAGTATTTTATTTTAGTATTGTGTAGAGGTTGTATGATTGTTTAGTGAGAATATTAGCAAGTATAAGACTGTATTGGAGTCCCTAAATCTAGTTTGTTGATAGTTTGCTTATTTGTTTGACAAGGTTTAAAAGGTTTAACTTCTATTTGCATTAATTCTAAGAATGCTGGATTGCTGGTTTATGTATGAAGTATTGATCCACTGAATCCAGCTAATAAATTTCATTGAATTTATTAAGGAATGCTCTAGTTTTATGTCATTTGATCAAATATGATGTATATGTTTTAATTTTTCACTCATCTCATAATGAACTCAGATTCAGGCATAAGTTGTCCTTCAATTGTGCCATTCATTAACAACTACTGTCAATGCTGACAATGTCACCACAGCATTCAAGTTGCCAGCCTTCAATAGAAACAATCTATTATATTACTAACTGAACAACGTCTTTATAGTGCATCAAAATATCTCTGAGGTCATTAGGCTATGTGGTTATTGAACCCTAAAAATTGTATTTCTGAAAGATATTTTGTGGATTTTAATAACAAGTGATGACTACCGTCAACCGGGGCTACTCGGGACAATTTTGAAAGTTTTTCATTCATAACTTCTTACCATGAAACATTTCATAAACAAGTTTAGGCTCACTTCAAAGCTCTTTGCAAGGGCTATCCCTATCACATGGCTTCTCCAAAACAATTCTGTATGCTATTGGTAAGGTGCCAGAAGCAAAAAAAAAGAGTGTCCCAAGCTAGTCAGGAAAAGTCCTATTTTTGTCTGAAATATCGCGGCTCTAATATCATATAATTTCAGTAGGTATGAAATTTCGCGGCTCGAATGTCATAAATTTTTGTTTGATTAAAAAATCGCGGTTTGCACTTTGCCACGGGTGGTTTTTGCCCAATTTTCCATACCGGCCGCAAGGAAGTGTTCTTGGACCTGTTTTATTTGTCGCTTTTATAAACGATGTACCAGAAGTAGTGTCATGCCTGTGCTCCATGTATGCCGATGACACAAAAGTTTATAATACCACAGTTAAGGATGCGTCAAATAAAATGCAACTGCAAAATGATCTTGATAGTTTAGTTGACTGGGCAGTCTGGGCTGATGCGTGGCAGCTGCCTTTCAATGCTGACAAGTGTAAAGTACTTCACCTCAGCAAGACAGTCTGTCACTGTCAGACAAGGGAGTCAAGGGAGACAACTCAGAGTCTCAGACAAGGGCAGGCAGCCAGGCTAGTATGGAATATATCTACTTGGCGAGCCGTGACTGAATTTTTCGAGCTGTGGTTTTATGGATTTGCCAGCCGTGATTCCATTTCTACGAGCC